GTTTTTTAATAAAGAAATTGAAAAGTCAAAGTTATCTTTGAAAAGTCAAAATTCTAGGACCTAGAAATTTTTTCTAAGTGTTGGAAAGTTAACATTTTTTCATAACTTTGCCAAATTTGTACCATGATGCAAGATGATTCAAGGGAAACTTCCAACATAAAAGTTGTATATCTCAATGAGATCTAAAACATTGTAGGGCATAACTTTTTTCTAGAAATGCTTGGATTTCAAGTTATGAATTTATGAAGACATGTCCATGAAACTAAAATACTTAGTGAAATTTTGAGTATTTTAGTCAGGATTTTAACCTAACTTCATGGCAACTTTTCATATGGTTCCATGTTGATTCCTCAAAAATTTCCAACATGAAAGTTGTAGAGGATGTTCCAAGATTTCCAAAATGTCCTAGAACTTGAAGAGATCGTTTTTGAGCTAGGAGATTCTAAGACTTGAAGTTGGCATGATAAACTTGAATTATAAGCCATTTTTGTGATGAACTCATAATAAAATCTCATAACCTTATCTTTCAATCTCACTTTTCAGGCCACGTTGCTTCTAAATCTCTCCATAATTAAGTAATTACACATACCCTAAGTATATTACACAAGAATTTGATGTTTTGTCCAAGTCTTGATACCATTTATGGTTGAAATTGCAAAAATTAACATATCCATTCTTGTAAAGCAAGCTTTTTCATAATGTCAACCCTTCTCGAGCCTCTCAATGGCTCCTTATGCACACACTCAACCTAGAAACTCATAAGAAGCACGTTTAAAGTGATTCAACCACTCTACATAGCTTGTACCACACATTGGGATTTTGGTTTTCCACTTTGCTTCAAAAACAAGCACAAATGCCATAACATGTGATATTGGTAATCTCACCATCCCAAGTCTCCAAACCTTTTCCTATATATCAAGACACTCTTATGCAACTGAAGACACGATTTTACAAGCCCTTGAACCCTCTCATACACTCTCAAACCCGAATTGGCCAAAAATCACCATTTTAAAGCTTTTGAAACCTTAACTTCGAAACTCATCACTCTTGCAACTATTGTCCAAACAAATCATCTAAACACTTCATATATATATATATCATATAGAAACTATCCATACCCCTGTTTCCTCAATATAACATCATTTTCATCATCCACCATTGCAACTTGACTTGAGTAGACCAATCCAGACACTTTCAAGGCAAAGTAAAAGTTGCAACATACTCACCAAGGTCCCAGGAAGTTAAAGCAATCATCATATTGCTTCTGAAAGTCGTGTAGAGGCCATTGAATTTTTGCATCAAGAGGTAAGTTTTTCCAACTTTGAAATCTTGATACAAGTATCATTTGCACTTACTTTCAAAAGATAATATGTAGATATCATGTCTATGAAGCTAACCATATCCTTAAATTTCATTTTAATTGACTGTGGGATGAGAATTTTAAAATTGAATTTTTTGGACATTTAGGTTTTCAATTTGGTACAGGTAGAAATTCGTGAGTTATAGTGGGAATAAATAAAAACTAATTATATATTTGAAATCCTTGCGAAATTCTAAGCAAGTTTCATTTTTACATTTTTGAATTTGGTTGAGAAATGAGGAAGTTAGAGTTTTTTGAAAAAAATAGAAAATATTGTTATTATAGTAACTGTTAGCGTGGAGGATGAAGAAGAATGAGAGCTTGACCATTTTCAAATTTTTACATCTAAGTTCATTTTATATTTAATGATTGTTGTTTCACTAATGGATGTAACAGTCACCCCCGTGGCAAGCAGCGTGCGTTTCATGTCACTTCTTATCCTATGGGCGCGAGTTTGAATCATAGTGAACCCCCCTTTTGCATATTTTGTGTTATTTTTGTGATTTTTGTGATTTCAGGAAGCAATCTTCTCATATAATATCATGCAAGTACATGGTTGAAAAGCAAACACACCTAGACTAATGGTATTTTTTGAGCCAACAACCTGAATATCTTGAGTTCAAGCCTTGGCAGGACCAAAACCTTATTTTTATCACTTGACTCATTTTACATTTTTAACAAACTTCAACAATTTATTTAACCCATCAAGTTAACTCCTTTTGAACTTATTTTTTGCACACTGCTAGTTTATTAGGTCTATTTTATGAATATATAAAAATCTCACCAAAAATATTTTTATTTTCATTATTCGTGATTTATTCAAAGTAGCATCTTTTAGATTTTTTTTCTTTATTAAAAAACTAAAAAAAACATTTTTCTTAACAAATTTCTTTTCTTGATTAAATTAATTTTTAACTTAGTTTTTGTTTTGAATTTCTTTTCTAATTAAATCAAATTAGAATTTAGAGATTTTAATTAATTAAATTCTTTCCTTTTATTAGCTTAATTAAATCAAGACTTTTCTTAAACAAAAAAACAATTTTCTTTTCCTTTCACATTGCTTTTATATTCTTGTACATTTTATCTTACAATATTCAATATGGTTGTAATAGTATAATTAGAACTTTATTGCTTTCATCCCCCATTGTTAGCTGGCTATTTCGAATAAGGAACAATTTGTTAGCTGGCTATTTCGAATAAGGAAGAAACCACTATCAAAATAATATTTCATATTTCGAATAAAGTACCTAAGGAGATTAATATCAATATTGGATATTGGTGGGAGATATGGAGTTATTATGTTGAAGGATTATTCAATTTCCAGCGGATTTCGATTTGGACTTGTTTTAGTGTTCGAATTATAAAAGAGCTCCTTTATGCAAGGGTGCAACAGTCCAAGTAATTGGGTTATTTCGAAAGCAACGAAGGAACAAGATGCTTCGAATGGTACAAATTTCGAATTTCAAATAAAGAGCGTCATTCTAGAAGACGCGTGGAAGTCAGCAAACATAGGAAGCCTGCATGCTTCGAACGTGGCGTGATTTTAGAATAGGGCCGTTAGGGTCAAGACACTATAAATAGGTGTTCTTATGTTAGATTTAAAAATGTTCGCTTTTATGTACTAAAATATCTCAAAATACTCATTACTTCCGTGAATTAAGGAAAACGAGTCAGAAGATACAATGTACGTGTTGAACATCATTACTTTTTTACAATTTCAATACAAGTCTTGTTATATTTAATTCGCCATTACAGTATTTCTGCCTTTAAATCCTTCGATTTCCTTGCATTACAGTATTTATGCCCTTTAAATCATTCGATTTCCTTGCATTTCTTTGTTTTACTTGCCTTTAAACACAGTCATTTCGTTAGAAACTTTACAGCATTTCGTTGCCCTTAAATCCTTCGATTTCCTTGCATTTCTTTGTTTTACTTGCCTTTAAATACAGTCACTTCGTTAGAAACTTTACTTTTACTTTATCCTTTTAGTCAAACACCTATCTTTACATTCAAGTCCAAGTCTAATTCGAAGCCTTTACTGCCTACATTCAGTTAGTTTATTCCTATAGACCATTTTAGAAATCTTTCCTAAGAATCTCGTATTCGAACTTAACATACAATATAAAGTCTATCAATATAATAGATATGAACATAAAAATAAGTTATGACACATGTGTTCTAGGATCAATATAGTCGATCTTGCAAGTAACCAATAATAATTAGTAAATTGGAAGACTAACGGTTGTTTACTAGAAATCACTGTAAACACCCATTTATAAATTGTGTCCCCATCCCCAAATGATGTAATAGCGTAAAATTTTACATTTCCGCAATTTATCGTTTTCAATATAAATGTTAGTAATTAGAGTTTGTATGGAAAGATAAAAATCAACAAGTAGATAACCCTAATCAAAGATTAAATGCATACAAGTCAAACACACTATTCACACATGCACCCTTAGGGTAATTCCACTTGTTGCCTTATAAAAATGGTCATGTTATGCATGTGAGATGTTTTAGCAAAAACAATAAAAAATACAAGATCATAGTCCCTCAATGACGCTTCAAATGTTGTCTTTCAAATGATCTTAGTCCTTCAAAGAGAAATGCTAAGATATCTCACAATATTTCTATCATGACTATACGATGGCCCACACTCATCCCTTTACATCCAAAGATAAGGCTTCTTACCAATCAATGGTAAGATAGTAATATCAAAGGAAAGGAGGAAAAGAATAAAGACTTTCGAGTAGGTAGAAACGTTCTTAGTTGCTTGCTCATTTTCAAAACAAAACACACACCAAACACTTTCAAAACAAACACCAAACACTTTCAAAACATGAAATACTTTCAAAAATCCAACACTTTGTACACGTTCTTACAAGACGAGAACAATTACAAAGTTTGCCTAAACGAATGCGTCTTTTCAAAAATACTTTCAAAACCACCACACAACACATTTTCAAACAAATCAAGTGATCTAGCAACCAACTAAGAGCCCATAGATAACTATGGATGAAAAGGGTGCTAACACCTTCCCTTTTCATAATCTACCCTCGAACTCAAGAAAATAATCTCAAAGGTCTTCCTTGTTCTTTTCACCTTTTCTTTCATTGAATAAAAGAAAAATCGATGACGACTCTTATTAACTGCAACAATTACGATAAAACGCAAAACATCTCAAATCAATTCTCACACCGTATTACCCACGTCCTAAACCATCAACATAATACTACGATCTATGATCATCTCTACCAACATAAAAATACCACGTAGTATTTATAAATTTGAACTACCCACTAAAACTATTATTTAAACTATTGAATTGTAAAAATTCAATATTTATTTATAATAAATAATAATTAAATAAATATTGATAATCCGATTCGTGTCCTATCTTTATCCAACTCCTTGTCCATATCGTTTTTATCTGGCCGGAAGTGCGACATAAAAAACCTTAAACGCAACAAATAAGTGTCGTTTCATGTTGTGCTAACGTGGCAACACTAACTCCACACGAATAAATGCACAGTCCCGACAACAACCTCAGTCACTCACTCACATTTTTCTCTCCAAAACAAAAACTGTTCTTTCTCTCCTCTTCAATCTCCCCTATTCGATTCCTTCCATTTCCTCAAAAATGGCCAAAGACCCAGTTCGTGTTCTCGTCACTGGCGCCGCAGGTATTCCATTCGTCGCCCATGCATTGATCTAACTGTTTTGCCTCTTTTTTTTTATAGATCTGTGATCTTGCCATGTTTTATCTATAATTGTAAGATTTCAAAAAATGGGTCTGTTTCAAAATGCTTTATTTGTTTTGTTTGGATCTTGATCTGCTATAGGGTTCAGATCTGATCACGCGACCAATGATGATGATGATGATGATGATGATGTTGTTTTGTGTTTGTCATGATTTTGTGGTACTGATGGAATGTTTTTACAATTGTAGGACAAATTGGTTATGCTCTTGTCCCTATGATTGCTAGGGGAGTGATGTTGGGTCCAGATCAACCTGTGATCCTTCACATGCTTGATATTCCTCCTGCAGCTGAGTCATTGAATGGAGTTAAGATGGAGTTGGTCGATGCCGCTTTTCCTCTTCTTAAAGGTTTGATAACTTAGACTTGATATGGTTTTGTTGTGTCCTGGTTGTATTATATGCTATGTGTTTGATACTGCGATATAGCTTATTAGTGTAATGGTGGTAGAGTTTGGTGCCAGATTAGTGGCTGTAGAGTTTGGCACTATGTGTATGTTGAATAAGAGTTAGAACTTGTGTGGAAATATTTGTTTCAGGTGTTGTCGCTACAACGGATGTTGTCGAGGCATGCACTGGAGTCAATGTTGCTGTCATGGTTGGTGGATTCCCAAGAAAAGAAGGTATGGAGAGGAAGGATGTGATGTCTAAGAATGTATCTATTTACAAGTCTCAGGCTTCTGCCCTTGAAAAGCATGCTGCTGCCAACTGCAAGGTAATCAATCTTATGCAACTTTTTAATGCTTTTCATTATAAACTCATACTTATACAAGGTCTATATATTACCAATATTTTTAGAAGAATCATATCAAACTTTATAAATGTAGTTGAATTGGTGGTATCACTAAATCAGTCAAGTCGAACCGGTTTTTACTTACGCCTATGCATTTTCAACCCGATTAGTGGTTCGGATTGATTATGTGACTGGTTCTTGTAATATGTGTCTTTTGGAATATTTACAGAAAGTCCTTGCAATATTTTGCAGGTTCTGGTTGTTGCTAACCCGGCAAACACCAATGCATTGATCTTGAAGGAATATGCTCCATCTATTCCCGAGAAAAACATTTCTGCTTTGACTAGACTTGATCACAATAGGGCATTGGGCCAAATTTCTGAAAGATTGAACATTCAAGTTTCTGATGTAAAGAATGTCATCATCTGGGGTAATCATTCATCAACCCAGTACCCTGATGTCAACCATGCAACTGTTATCACCCCTGCCGGGGAGAAGCCTGTCCGTGAACTTGTTGCCGATGATTCCTGGTATATCACAAATGCTTTAAACTTACTCGCTCCATTCCTTTTTAGATGTTGTATACACGTAACAAGATAATTAATAAAGCCTATTGATTTTGATGAAATTATTTGTCCTTGTTAATTAATGTGTAACTTTTCATTGTTTAGGTTGAATGGAGAATTCATATCTACCGTTCAACAACGTGGTGCTGCAATTATAAAGGCTAGGAAGCTTTCAAGCGCACTATCTGCTGCTAGTGCTGCTTGTGACCACATTCGCAATTGGGTTCTTGGAACTCCCGAGGTTCGCTGCATTTTGTTTACTCCGTAATTATGATTCTATAAGTCTTTCCTGACCGGCTTATTTCTTTTCCATTGCATTATTAGGGCACCTTCGTTTCAATGGGAGTGTATTCTGATGGTTCTTACAATGTACCCGCTGGACTTATCTATTCATTCCCTGTCACTTGCGCCAATGGAGAATGGAAAATTGTTCAAGGTATGTTTTAATCAGAAAAAGAAAAATTGTTTCTCAATTGTTTGCAAAGCTTATCCATTCACAAACTATATATAGCTCAAAGTTGGATGCGTGCATTTGATCTGAAAAAAATTGTTCAATTTTTTAACTCAGGACTTTCAATTGACGAGTTCTCAAGGAAGAAGCTGGACTTGACAGCCGAAGAGCTTTCTGAGGAAAAGAGTTTGGCTTACTCTTGCCTCTCTTAGGCTGCTTTCTTTTTGTCGACTGATTCCCATGTTTTTGTCTATAGAAGTAGCTTCGATTTTGAATAAAGCTTCTAGATACAATGTCTCTTCTTTTGAATTACTTGTACGGCAAGTTTCATGGATTTTAGCCATGATGGCGATACAAGAATTTTGATGTTTGATGGGACTGCACTAGCGTGCAGCAGGTACATCTACTTCTTGGGATTGAGTATTATGCAATTGTATTGCAAAATAAAGCCATCATGAAATGTTTCTCTATGAAGTTAGAGAACTTATTATAATGAAAGAGTTTTATTTTCCTTTTAGTGCATAATTTATGTTTGGTTTTACATACATGGTGGTTGTGGTTGTGAAGGGATTAGCCAAAACCTGTCAACATTGCAGGAAAAAAAATCTTAGTTTTACTCTTTGGGTTGGGTCAACCCACAAAACCTTGTAAAACCAGCTCAAAAAAATCCTAAAAATTGGATTGGATCGGATAATATGGGTTTAAAAACTTAAAAATTCATTAAAAAAATTGGGTTTTGGGTAAAATCGGTCCCAAACTCAAAATCCACTAACCCATTAATTAAATTATTATCGTTACAATTTTAATGATTTCGATGAAGTTTTACTCTTTAGTTATTTTGATGCTTATACAATTTTTTGTTTCAATGTATTGCTTTTTCAAAATACAACTTTCTCTTCTTATTTATGTCTTTAAAATGTATAATTTCTTTTGACGCCATTTTCGGTGGTAGTGAATGACATGGAAAAGACTTATTGCATCAGAATCGAAAACCTAAAATATTGTGGATGTTGTGTTAAAAGGTAGAAGAAGATGGTGGATTCATGAAGGGTAAGTTCTTCCTTAAAGATGGCGGAAATTTATTTGTTTGCAATTTTCAAAGTTCAATGCAATTTTAAAGATTTATCAATACTATCCTTACTTGCATTGTTTATTAGTCTCTTTGCTCCTTATTAGCTGCTGCCATTATTTTGAAAACTGTATTGTATTCCTTGTTAGTTGTGCTTTTTTGTGATGTTCTTATACAAGTTTTCAGTGGTTTTGTTTCTGTTCGCTTTGATTGTATTGTTAATGGTAACTTTTGTAAGAATAAGATTTGATTTTACATCTGACCTTGAGTTTTGATGATAATATTATATGGGTGATTGAATAACAATTTAGTATTCTAATAGTTTGTTTAGTGTGTAGTTTTTACTAACAGGTTCTGACTTTGAAGAAGTGACGTGTGACGTCATCAGATTTTGGACTCAACATACTGAAGAATACAAGTTTGTGTTCCATAGTTTAGAATGCGTCATAAAGCAACGGTTCTAACGGATGTTAGTTTTATTGCTTATAATTGTGACTCAGTTTTAGAGCTTCTAATATGTTCTCAAGCTCTGAAGGTTTCAGGTTCTCTTGCTCAAGTTCTGAAGATTCTAAAGGCAAGGCCCTGTTGAACGGGTTCTGAATATTCTAAAGATCAACGGTTCTCTAAACCAACTTCTGAAGACTCTCAAGACAAGGTTCTGTTGAACGAAGTTCTGAAGACTCTGAAGAAAAGGTTATGAAGGCTCTGAAGATCAAGTGTTGAAGACTCTGAAGATAAGGTTCAAGTTGAACTAGTTCTGAAGACTCTGATGACATGGTTCAGGAGACTTAACTTTGATCCTTCTACACATGCTTCAGGCATTAAACATCCAGAAGCCTGTGAAGATTATAAGAGAAGATCAAAAGGTTTCATGTGAGTAATAGTATAAGGTACAATATCGCCTCCACTACGCTAGTTTTGTGGCGCAAGGACAATACTTTTGTACTAGATTGACTACCACTCTCTCACTGACCGTTGCAAGAAGACAGTTGGAATTTTGGTATTCCTATTCTATCCTCCAATGAATTTCTTTTCAGCTATAAAATGAAAACTTGGAAGAATTGGAAATGTTGAAGAACTTTGAAGAAACTCACGCTTATTCAAGTTGTTGAAACACTGTCAAAATAACTCTGATTTTTGTAAAGCAAGGAGTTGTTACTCATTAACTTGCTAGCAAGGAACTTTTGTTCGTTAACTTGCTTAATATTTGTGTTATTATTTGTACTTCAATCTTGTGTAATCTGCTTTTAGAAAAACAATCTTGTAAACTCAAAAATCTGTATTCAATAGTGACTTGGTAGTTCTTTGAGTGACTAAGTGTTAGTTTGTATACTCAAGAAGTCATTGATAACGTGTCTTTGAGATTTTGTTCTTTGAGTGACTAAGTGTTAGTCTGTATACTCAAGAAGACATACACAATTGATATTTGTGGTTCTGTAATCAGTTTAGTTATAGTGGACTAAGTCCTTATTGAGAAGGCAAAACCACCTTGACAGATGGACTGAATTAACTTCGTTAACAGTGAACCAGGATAAAAATAATTGTGTTCATTTATTTTTATTTTTCTGTTAAGAGTTGGTGTTTGAGTTTCGAGAAATTTTATTTTGAGAAATCCAATTCAAACCCCTTTTCTTGTGTTTCTTGCACTTTCAATTGGCATCAGAGTTTCGGTTATGGTATTGATTATTATCAAACACTTTATTGTGTCAGATAAAGATCCAGGCGTTTTAGAAACACTATGGTCATTCAACCCCTGCAAATTGTTCAATTTTCAAACGACAAAGACAACTACAATGCTAAACCTTCCATATTTGATGGTGAAAGATTTGATTATTGAAAAGATAGACTAGATAGTTTCTTTCTAGGTCATGACATTGATCTTTGGGATTTGGTAGTTGATCACTACGAACATCTCACAAATGCAAGTGGAAATAAGCTTGAAAGAATATGAATGAATAACAAAAGAAAGATTATAAGAACCATCATAAAGCAAGAACTATCTTACTGAATGCGATTTCATATACTGAGTATGAGAAGATAACAAATAGAGACTCAACTAAATATGTATTTGATTCTTTAAGAATGACTCACGAAGACAACTCTCAAGTTAAGGAGACCAAAGCTCTGACTTTTGTAAAGCCTTCAAAATAGAAGAAGATGAAACAATTGAGATCATGTTCTCAAGGTTTCAAATTCTTGTTGCATGACTTATAGTTCTGAACAAAGGATACTCTACTTCAGATCATGTGAAGAAGATTATCAGAAGCTTTCCATCTAAGTGGAGGCCTATGGTAACTACTCTTAAATTGGATAAAGATCTGAACAATACTTCTATAGAAGAGATGGTGAGTTTTTTGAGAAGTCATGAAATTGAGATGGAACAAGATGAATCTTAGAAGAGATGCAAATCAATTGCTCTTAAATCCGTCAGAAGATCTGAGAAGCTTCAAGAAGAAGAGATCGAGGATTTCTAAGAAGATTTTGATGAAGATGAAGACGAGTTGTCATTGCTGTCCAGAAGGGTTAACCAAATCGGGAAGAGAAAGTAAGGCAACAAGTTCAGAGGATCTAGAAGGACTGGTAGTCGCTTCGAGTCTACTTCTGGACAAAGAAAGTATGGTAGAAACAAAGATGTCACTTTCTACGAAATGATTGTCCCAAGCTCAAGAAGGACAAGCCCCGAAAGAAAGCTTTCAGAGGAAAGAAGAAATGCCTGATGGTAACATGAGATGATTTTGATTCATCAGAAGATGATTCAAAAGAAGGACACGCTAACATAGATTTGATGGCTAACATTAAAGCTTCTGATGAGGTGATCCATCCAGAAGCAATGCAGACTCTGATTCAGACATAGGACATGTACTTTTTGACCTTTCTCATTCTGAATTAACTTGTTCTTTACTTGAAATTATGTAAATACACGAGTTGCTCAAAAACAAATTCAATTAACTTAAAAAGGTCCATGAATCTGTTTCTAAAGAACACAACAAATTTAAGGAAGAATTTTTATCTCTGAGAGAAGAAAATTATATTATTAAGATCGATTGCTCTATTTTCAAAAGAAAGAGTTTCAGTCTTGAGAAGGAAGTTCTTTTAGAAGCCTTTGAGAGAACTGATGATGTCATAAAGAAATATGACAAATCATTCTAGAATTTTCTTGCTAGAAGCCTAGGTAGAAGCTTCATGGCTTCAATGATTTATGGTGTAAGCAGAAACTGTACTAAAGGTATTGGTTATAATTCTTATGAAGAATCTGATTCTGAAAAAGAAGATAAACCAAATACTCTTCATTCCTATTTTGTTTGTGCTGACTCTGGGCCTAAGGTAAAAGAAAAAGATAAAAATCTTTTTGTTCCCAAGGCTAAGCCTAAAATAAAGTCTCGTTTTAAAAATGCAATTAAATATGTTTATCCCACTCCTATGCTCAAAGTTGTGAACAACTCTGGGAAGAATAACAAAAAAATACCAAATAAACTATGGGTATCTAAAAAGCATATAATCTATGTTACATATATCCTTAGCAACGATGTCAAGACACCAATCGTGGTACCTGGACTTTGCCTGCTCGCGACACATGATAGGAAGAAGACATATGTTCTAAAGACTGAAACTTAAGCCTGGAGGCGTTGTAGGATTAAGAGGAGATCAGAAAGAGAAGATCATAGTCTCCAGAACAATTGGTAACCGTTCTCTCCCTTCTATTAATATTGTTTTACTTGTTGATAGATTAATGCATAACTTATTGTCCATAAGTCAATTAAGTGACAATGGTTATGGTATAATATTTAATTAAAATTTCGGTAAGGTTGTTGGTCAGAAGGATGACTCAATCCTTTTTCAATGGAAAAAGGAAGAACAACATCTATAAGATTAGACTTTCTGATCTTAAAGGGAAAAATGTAAAATGTCTTATGTTTGTTAATAAAGAGTAATGGATATGGCATAGACGGTTGAACCATTTTAGCACGAGAAAAATCTCTCAACTAAATAAGTTTGATCTTGTCAGAGGCCTTCCAAAGTTGAAGTTCTCTTATGAAGCTCTTTGTGAAGCATGCCAGAAGGGAAAATTTTCAAAAACTTATTTTAAAGAAAAGAATTGTGAAGTCAAACTTCTTCAACACTATGTTTTGATGAAGACAACTA